GGAATTGTCGGTGGGGGGAGTGAATGTACAGCGCTCTCTTCCACCTTCAATACCACGACTGAGGTGCCCTTGAGCAAGGCACCGAACCCCCAACTGCTCCCTGGGTGCCGCAGCAAAAAATGGCTGCCCACTGCTCCGGGTGTGTGTTCACGGTGTGTGTGTGTTCACTGCTGTGTGTGTGCACTTAGGATGGGATAAATGCAGAGCACTAATTCCGAGTATGGGTCACCATACTTGGCCCCATGTCACGTCACTTTTTTCCCATTATGACGTTTTGCAGTATAAATAACTATTCACATCTGTTGTATGAAAAGCAAACTTAGAAATTCTGCCTAGTGTTTCATGAAAAAATGTTCAACAAAAATAATAGGTTAAAAGAAAATAGGAGCACAAAATATACTTACTGTTACTTTTATTATTATAAAATATTATTAAGTGTACCACTCCTTTAATGTAAATCCCCAGTTCAGAATAATGGAAGAACAACATTTTGTTTATTTACCTCAGGGGCAGGGGCTTCATTTGGGCTTTCTTCAGACTGGGCATTTATCATTGACCTCAGGGTCCCTTCCTCAAACTGATGAACATAAACAAATACAGAGATCAGTTTTATGCTCAGAGACCACAATGACATTTTTACACGACTGTTCTTACCTTAAGTCTGTTGAGCTGATCTTGCAGCATGACTTTTATTTTCAGAAGAGTCTCCTCTTCCTTCTTGAGCTCCTGAAGGCGACTCAGCATAATGGATGAGTGTTTCTACAGCATTACTGCACATAAAACAAGAAGAAAATGTCTTTAGTTTGCTCTATTACAGGACATGTTCAGCCCGGAATTAAGAAACAAACATGTATTGCTTTTTATGAACTACAAACTACATTTAAACAATGCTGAAATGAACTGTACAGCCAGTAAGATGGAGTTTGTAGTCGTGTTTGCTGTTTGGTTCATGAGTACATCATGTTCCTGATCTCCTGTGGTTTAAAGGCTTCTGTTGCTTTTCCTGGGAATTACGCTGGCCTTCCATGAGTTATCGAGTTTTATTCAGACCTTTAATATACATAAATAATGCATCTTCTAAACGGTTATTTTACTGACATTTTCTAATGTAAACCCGAGTCGGAACACATCTTACAATAATGCACTGTGCAGACTCAGCTCATTTAGCAAGCATGCTAGCGGAAATAAAAACGGTTACAAGCAACTGATCTCGTTTAGCGTTATTTCTTTTTTAGCCTCATAAACTAAACGACTTGACTTACTTTATTGGTTCAACACGCACTGAAGAAAGTGCATGGTTTCGATTAAACTGTTCATTTATTTTCTTCTCAACTCCACAGTTGTAGCATTCTGAAGAACAAGTCACGCGCACTTCAGCACGCATGCGCATTAAGCATGTTTTAAAAAAGTGCCGCAGGTTTGAACTGTCCAGAGTCATTCCCTTCTTCTATATTATATAATATAACATAAACAAGAAGACGATACAACTATACATAATAATATCATAATAATATTTAGTTTTATGTATTTCATATTTTTTTTTCTAGATTGTATTCTGTATCATTAAAATAACACGGTAAATATAAATGATAATGTCAGGGCAACTTTTATAATAATGTAGGCTTAAGAAAGCCAATATACTGTTCTTAGATTTAAAATTATTACCATAAACTTGTTGTTGTTGTTATTATTTAATTATATATATATATATATAGACAAATATATTTTATTATATTTTGTATTTATTGTTTTTTATTTAGATTATCTATTCTTATTTGCCTATTAAGCTATTTTAAGCTTTCAGACTTCTAGATTTTATTTTAAAAGTTTTATTTTGTATGTATTTTAAAATTATAAATATTATATTTAATTTTATGGTATAATTTGTTTATATTTATAGTTTTTAAAATAAATACACAAATGATAATGTCAGCACATTTTAATAATTATGCTGGCTTTTTAAACAAACAACATTTATTATTATTATTATTATTATTATAGTTTAAAATTCTAGTTAAAATTTTTATTAAGATTTTATATTTAGTTATATTTTAATATATTTCTTTTTATTTTGTTCTAAATATTACTTATAGTTTTATTTTTAATATATATTAATATTATACTTTTGTTATAGCATTTAATATATATTATATTCATATTTTATATGTTTACAATTGTTGATATTTAGTTGTTTTTTTGTTTTTTTTTACATATAAGCATACACTCTTTAAAAATAAAGGTGCTTCAAAAGGTTCTTCAAGCGATGCTATAGAAGAACCATTTTTGGTTCCACAAAGAACCATTCAGTCAAAGGTTCTTTAAAGAACCATCTCTTTATTACCTTTTTATAATCTGAAGAACCTTTTTCACCACAAAGAACCTTTTGTCAAACAGAAAGGTTCTTCAGATGTTAAAGGTTCTTTATGGAACCATTTAGACAAAAAGGTTCCTCTCTATGGCATCGTGAAGCACCTTTATTTGTAAGTGTATTAAGCACCCACACTATATGATGACATTCTGCACGGAGCGCAGTAGCGACGCCATGTGGAGAAATTTAGGAAATGCATTACCATAAAAGAGAGAATGTTTGGAGACACATCAAAGTCTAAGGAATTTTAAATACTATTCATTCTATTCATATTCATGCTTTTTATTTTTATATATATACCCTTATCTATATACACTCTTAAGAAAAATGTTTCTAAACAGTACCAGAAAAGGGTTCTTCGGCTTGTAACAATAGCAGAACCCTTTTTAGTGCTAAATAGAACCTTTTTTATAGGGTTCCATATAGAACCATGCTTTAAAAATGCCATGTAGGACCTTAACGGTGTTATAAATAACCTTTTTAATGATAGTTTTTCATTAATATTAGTATGTTAATATCATTATTATTTGTATATATTATTTATTAAAGGGGTCCTATTATGCTCTTTTACAAAGTCTTGATTTAGTTTTGGGGGTGTACTAGAATAGGCTCTCATGCTAGGTTGTTTCGAAAAACACATTCTTTTTCACATATTTTACATTATTACAAAACCTCTCTCCCCAGTCTGGCATGAACGGCTGGAATAGTTCCTGTATTAAACGAAGGCCCGCCTTCTGAAATACAAAATGTGCTGTGATTGGTTAGCTGGGCCAGTGTGTGTTGTGATTGGCACCACTCAGTGCCTGGTTGGGAAATGGCATGCCCCTTACCACAGCCGCCTGCGAGCTTCAGTGTAAATATTTGAGCGCGATTTAAACCCGGATGATTGTAACCACTCTAAGTTCATCTGCCTTGGGAAAGCTAGCGTGTCTCCGACATAGTGATAACACTCATTGCCTTCTCTAGTGCAGCTCAACCAGGTTTCTTCCCATTCTTCGATATTTGTGATATCACAAATATATGCGTTGTAGTCCAAACAAGTCGTTCGTTGTAGTTTTTGAAAAGTGATTTCTGTTAAATAAAATATATCCTTTTGAATTGGACTTCGAGCTTTGTAACTTTGCAGATCTTTTTTATGCTCAAACACAGTGTTGGGGGTAACGCATTACGCGAGTTGCGTAATCAGATTACTTTTTTCAGGTAACTAGTAAAGTAACGCATTACTTTTTAATTTACAAGAGAATATCTGAGTTACTTTCCCCCCCCCCCCCACTTTTTTGATTACCCGCCCCCTTTTCCACCTTTTTATCGGAAGAGACACAGTGCACAGTAGAAATTGACTTTTCTATAATTAATCCATAGGAAAACCTTTCTTTGAATGAACACACATATCCTTCAGATCATCGTGTATGTTGTCTTTGAGATTTTATACTTGCTGAAGTGTGTTGAAATGTCTTCTTCTGCATTCTACTGTACGGACGTAAATTTACTTTCCCTTCAGCCTGAGGTTTATTCATGTCACTTTTGGTGTGAAAAGGCTTTTATATTTGCCAAAATTAGAATTTTTTCATTTTAAAAACAAACAAGTAGGCCCTGTCCAGATTTAAAAAGTAACGCAAAAGTAACGTAACACATTACTTTCCATAAAAAGTAACTAAGTAACGTAATTAGTTACTTTTTTATGGAGTAACGCAATATTGTAATGCTTTTTTATGTAATGTAATGTAAATTACTTTTAAAAGTAACTTTTCCCAACACTGCTCAAACAGCAACATTACAACTAAAGTTGAAAAAGTGAAAAAGCATAATAGGACCCCTTTAATATTGATTTTTACCCCTCTATCTGCCTGGTCTTATAATATCTTGAAGTGTCTATTAGGGTTTTACATAAAATCAACAACAACGTGTCAATTAGGCACTTTTATTTTTTTGTAATGATGTAAAATTGTAGCAAAAATAACAGTGTTCTAACAATAGTTATTAGCAGAATACATTCATGAATGACAATGGACATTGAACATAAATAAATGCTTAAAGAAGTAAAACAAAATAGAACATAAAATAGTGTTTTGAAGACCAAGCTCCAGTGAAATATCTTCCCAATCCTCTATGATGCCTCTAAGTTAATCGTTATCTGTATTTTGGTGTGACTGAGAGGCAGTTTCTCTCTGCAGATGATGAGGTTGTAGGATGTGACAGCATCTGAAATGCACAATTGAGTTTATGTGTCTCCTGTCATTTGTTTATGTGAAAACAAATGTTTATGAAGGCCAAAAGTAGTATGTGAGCATTTCACAATGTTAAAAGGAAAAAGTAATATAAAGTCATGGGATAGCTGGGTGTGTTTATACATAAACACTAATAATAAAAAATATAACAAAATGGACCATAAATTCAATATTTTTGTTACTTACTTAGCGAAGAATAGGAGAGTATCCTTAACTGAATAGAGCTGGTCACACTTACATGTTCTCTTAAACTAAAAAGAGAAAAGACATGGAAAAACCAATTAGCATTTGAAAGTTATAATTTATAGATATTTTAAGAAATAAATTATTTACCTGTTGAGAGTGTGTTGACGGTCTGTGGAGTTGGATGGCTGAGCTCCAGAAAATCAGTAATGAGGCATCTTAGAGAGCAGCCTCGGTTAGGGTTTTACAGTAAAACAACGACAATAACCACAACAGCATGTTGTGTGAATTATGTTTTTATTGACATGCAAAATTATCAGTGCTCTTAACAACAGTTATTAGCTGAACACATTAATGAATGACAATTGACAGTGAACATGAATAAATACATAAAGAAGTAAAACACAAAATAAGAACAAAAAATAGATGTGATGAAGACCAAGTTTCAGTGAAACAATCACAATCCAATCAATATGATGCCTTTAAGTCCATCATTTTGGTGTGATTAAGTGGCAGATGATGAAAAGTTTCCACAGCTTAGCAGAGCTGCACACACTTATGACCAAAAACTAAAAAAATAGATACGAATTTAAGAACACGTTTGTTTGTAAACCAGTTACTATTTTAAAGTTAAATTTGTATTTCAATTTAAGAATGAAATCATTTACCTGTTGAGAGTGTGTTGACAGTCTGTGTAGACGGATCACTGAACTCCAGAAAATCAGTAATGAGGTACTTTGACAGTTACAGATTTGAAAAACAAAAGGGCGGGAATAAAGAACCCTAAACTCTAACACAAAGAACCATTTCAGCATGAAAGGGTTCTTCAGAATGCTATGGTTCTAAATAAAACCATTACTGCATGTAAAGAACCTTTAAAGAACCATCATTTTTAAGAGTGTAGACAGAGAGAGATAGCAAAAGTTAAAAGTTTACATCTGTCCCCCAATTACCTGCCGTGCTGTACTGTCCTCACCTGCATCTGGTGATGTTTGAACTGGCAGGTGTCAACTTTACAGCACCAGGAAGCCTAATTCATTGCAAATGTAATACATGTTTCGAGTCCAGCACACAAAACACACACCCTGCTTCTCAGATGATTTGCACAACACTGAACTTCTGAGCTGATATTGTCCTATATCATTGAGTGCATTTGTCAGAGTCTATGGTACCATTAGAGGGCATTGTTCGTTTATTCAACTGCCTGATCTAATAAAACCTTCAGTGTCAGCTTGAAAGCAATGGATGCTCAGAAGGGCATCCAAGAGTATTTCTCAAGAACATTATCTATTATGACTGTTTTATGTATCACATACTAAACATATTGTGCACTGTTCTAATGTATGTTTTGTATTAGATGACTGGAATTACTTGCAATAAATAAAAGGAAGACTT